GTGTGTGTGGAGTCATAGGGAAGACAGTGTAGCACAGAGAAGACAAGTAGTGACTCTGGGGCATCTTACTAAACTGATGGACAGTGACTTCAATGGAGTATGGGGGGGGTACTTGATAATACGGGTGAATGTAGTAACCACAATGTTTTTCATATGAAACCTTCATAAGTGTGTCAATCAATGATACCTTAATAAACAAACAAACAAACAAATAAATAAATAAAAGCCTAACAATTGGAAGGAATTCTATAAAACCATGGCGGTAGAACACCCTAAGATCTGTTAAACATAGCTGTCTGAGTAATAACATAAATAAGGTGAAAAACTGAATGCAAATTTACCAGGCAAATTTGAAAGATCAAACATATAAGCTAACTATGATAATAATCGTTTATATTGATTGTTAATATGTGCTAGGCACTCTTTTGTTGTGCAAACTTATTTAATCTCAACAATAAAATTTACAATATGGTAATCATTAATATCCCTATTTTTCAGGTGAGAATATTTAGGCAGGAGGTTTAGTAGATTACCACATGTTACATAACTAGAAACTGACTACAATAGCCTGAATTTGCAAATCTGAAATTCTTTTTTAATTTATAAATTGGGAGAAGTGGATAATAAAATCTTTCAGTTGTATTATATATAGCTCAAGTTAATGTGGCAAAAATTTCACTCCTTCTTTCCCTTAATTTTTTCTTGACTAAATTTCTATTGTTTTTCCTGTTTTTGAATACAGAAATGGAAACAATATAATTTCTACATCTAAGAAGTTCTTTTAAAAATAGCATTATATTTTTCTAATATTTGGTGTGCACTGTATTAGTTTATTTTTAGTCTATTTTTTAATAAAAACATTTACAACTGTAGACTTTTGGTGACAGCTGATAATTCTATCCTTGTTTTAATGATATTTTAACAATCTTACAATTTTCAATCCAGTTAGAGCCAATATTTATTCAGGACCATTCAGCAATGTGGCTGGAGTATAATGGGTGGAAGACAAAGAGGTACAGATACGGATTCAAATGAATTTGTTTTGTTACACCAAGTGTACTGTAAAGTATATTTTTTGAATATTTAAGATGTGAAAGCCTAAGAGGGGCATGTTAAATTCAGGATAAGGTGGAGGCAGTAGGCAGGGCCCGGAATATGCAGGGCTTCCTAGGATACACGAAGGAATCAGGTTTTGTTCCAAAGTGGTGGGAAGCTGCTGGAGAATTCTAAGTACGGTGCCATGTTTTATGGCTGTTGGTGTAGTCAATTAAAGGGGGTTAAGACAAATTTAGAGAGATCAATTAGCAATTTATAGAAGAAAGCAGAGGCAGGAAGAACAATTTCTTGGGCTAAGAGTGTGTCAGTAGAAATGAGCAAATGGGTGCAGAAAGACATTTTGAAAGTGGAATTGATGAGATTTCTGTTTTATTAAATATGAGTTATGTAGGAGAAGGAATAACTGAAAATATTTCCTAGTTTTTTAGCTTGAGTACTACGTGAAAGGTTAGGTCATTTAAAGAAATGATAAGAGCTGGGAAAATAATGTTTTAATTGAATAATAAATTTAATATAAGAAAAGAGATATAGGAATATATAGGAATGAATTTTGAAATTTTTTAAAACTTTTAAATTGTAGAATCACATTACTAAAAATTTAAATCTTAATATTCAGGGCTGATTTATCCACAGCACCTAGAACAAAGAGGTTTTCTGGCAGTATTTGAGGACATAAATGTTATAGAATACTACCTGTGTCAAGAAGTAGAAAGCCTAAAAGAACAGCAGTCCTGGGGAGTGGATGATGAGAGTAGATAGTTTATGTTATCAAAGATTATCTCAAATTCCCAAACCTCTCATTCAGCAAATATTTACTGAGCATTTAATACATACCCGGAACTATTCTAGAGGAAGAACATTACTACATCCCAGGGACTACTGAGAAATCTATCCACTCCCCCACCACAAACTGTCTTCATAAAGTTTCATTCTTTCCCCATTACCAACAGGAAACAAACATATACATACACTAATATATAACCAAACAGGTGGTGATATGTGCTATGAAGAAAACTAGAGCAGAGAGGAAGATGGGGAAGGGTGTGTCCACTTCTGGTTATTCCTCGGAGGAGTCATGGGAGGCCCCTTTGGTGTGGTCTAAGCAGGAGACGGAAAGGACACAAAGTGGCACTGCTGCAGAAAATGAGCAAAGCTGATTCCAGAGAAGATGGAAAGTGGAAGAGCCTTGAAATAAAAGCACATGCCTGTACCTGAGGCTGAACGAGCCAGGCAGGAGTGGGGGTTTCCAGGCCCCAGGGGCCTCAGGAGCATTGCGCTGTGGGTAAGAAGGGAGGCCACTGTATGGCCTTGATCTAACATGGTCTAACTTATGTTTGACATCCACACTGTGGTTATGGTGCAGCGAATACGCACTAGGGTCCGAGCAGAGAACCGGAAGAGCAGCCAGGTCATGGCTGAGGCAGAAAACAGTAGCGCCCTGGCTCAGTGAAGGAATCAGGCAACTAGACCTGGATAAGGACGGGACCATTCACAGTTGACACTAGGATATGGTTTTTGAAGTTGAGCATATGATAAGCTTGGCTTTACAAATCAGATATGTAGAAAGGAAAGAATTCTTCAAGAAATGGTGCTAAGTTAATTCATTACCTATTTTAAAGCCAGACTCTTAACTATTGCATATGCCAAAGAAATGGTACATGGAGTGATAAATTTAATGTGATCAATCATTTAAAAGGGAGCCATTAATAAGTAGAAGAAAAATTTGGTGAATTTTTACCCATAGAACTTTTAAATTTAACAGCAAAAAAAAAGAATAGCAAATGGGGGGAAAATACTACAGCATTAACTAGATAAAAACATAAAACTTCCGAAGGTCAAAGAATGTGTAAACAATACCAAACAAACTAGAAAATTTTGCCATAAATATGAGAACAGATAATCCACATTCTTATGATATACAAATTTATTTAAAAACAAACAAACCCTAACCACCTTAAGAAAGAACTGGCTTAAAGATCATAAACAGGAAGGGACCTCGCTGGAGTCACGCTGGCAACGTTTCTTCATGGAACTAATATTGGTGCTGGTCGTGATCAATATTTTCTTAACATCTTCAGCATTGAAAATGCTATCCAGAGGATTAAAGATGGCGGCATGATAGAGTGTATATCAATAATACCTTAATAAAAAATTAGAAAAGAAAATGCTATCCAATGTATCCAGATAAAAGGAACATTTGAAATGTAAAACTGAAATGGATAACTAAGTGATGGTTTACCCCCACGCAGTCAGGTGAGCTATAGTTTAGGCATACGGAAGAATTGCCCTTGGGAAGCAATACCCAAATAATCCTTGTAAGTGAAGGACTCTGAGCCAACAATCAGAACTAAGAAAGAGTTCTAAGGATCACTATATGTTGTTCCCTAAATATAAGCTGTGGGCAAAAGAAGCAATAAAATGCCAGTTATCAACTGTGAAATGTCATTCAAAACAACAGTGGACAGTCGCTGGGATATTATATATCATACTGATGGTCACTGACCTGTGAGAGACAAAGGAAAACAGAACCATCGCAGGGATTGAGAGGCTTATGAAAATAAACTTTGGGAAGCAGGATTCTTTCTCGCAGGTGCAAAGTTAAAATAGTAATAATAATGAATGCACTATGTGTTTCCTATGAGCCAGGCAGTATGTTGAACCTCTCAATATGTTATCCTGTTAGGCCCTCCCCAGGATAGGAGGGAGATAATCTCATCCCGTGTTACAAGAGACGAGGTGGGTCTCAGAGCAGGAGATCACACAGCCGGTGTGGCACAGAGCTAGGACTCCAAGGAAGGCCGTGCTCTCAGTTGTCAGCATCTTTAGCCTGTAGAAAGAAGCAGTGTGGACTTGTCAACCACAGAGCAGCCTTAGGGGACACTCCTTGAAATTTCAAAAAGGGAAACCAGGAAGCAGAGCAGAAGGGAGCACAACATATTCAAAGAGGGAATCATTCATCCATGTCTTCATCTCCCCAACAAACATGTACTGAGACCCAGCTATGCACCTAGTACTGTGCAAGGTGCTGAATGTTGAATTCAGACTCACTTTCTAACAACAGAAAGGAAATCTTCAGGTGGACATTTTCGGCTTTTTTAGATTAAATTTGTGAAGGACAAGCATGCCTTAAAAGGAGAAGCCTTTTCTTGCACGGGCATACTGAGCACAACAAACCACCACGTCTTTCTGTCTAAATTTAGCTCATGGACATTTTAAGAGGTGGAACACTGGGACTATGGATATGGTTTTCTGAACACCTGAAGAAAACAGCACTGAGTCGTAATTTCAGAATGGTAGATGCAGCCGACTTTTTAAATGTGAGATCTGCTGAGATTCTTTTTACGTTTATTCCTATATTCTCAATGACTAGCAAAATGATTTTAGAGCTGATTTGTTTTCTTCTATGATCTATCTTATATACTGGCAATGATTCTTAATCTTTATCTTCAAGTTTTTCCATCCTCGCCCTCATGATGCCAACATTGGGAGGATTATAATATGCCCTCTGCAGAGCCTGGGAAGAGAATAGGTTTTCCCTAAGAACATGTAAAAGAGAAGGATGATATGAGGTGGAGGTGTTCTTGAAAAGCATTATATTCTATATGACCAAATAAACATGTTAGGCTATTTTCCATAAATAAATCATTTTGTAAGTTAGAAAAGTTGATTCCATCAGGTGAATTGGATCGTAGCTGACAAAGTTTTCAAGTTGGAAATTTCATTCTATAATCAGTGTACCTAGAAAATAATGGCTTTCTGCTTACCAGCTCCCAAGAGCCTAAGTGTCGAACAACAGACTCCCCGAGGGAAGGTTCCAGCTCAAGTCTTGATGAAGGTGAGGCTGGAGGCCAGGGGGGAGGAAACAGATTACATTGCACATGAGCATGACCTAGTGGCTGGTTCACTGAGTGGCATTTATGGCAGTAATAGCAAGGTCTACTCGCCTGTTTTCCAAGTGTCAGGGTAAGTGACGTGTATGCAGCTGCTGTTCATGGGGAGGTGAAGAGCAGGAAAGAAAAGCATCCTGCAAAGAAAGCGGAGGTAAGAGGACATTCACAACTGCTTAATATAAAGCCGTTGGGACCGTACACTTCCCCCTGGAACATGGACCCATCAAAAGTACTTTTTTGCATAAGTTAAAGGAATGTTCTTACTGATTCTTCACAAGGAACCAGAAATGATCAATTTTGCCTTGTAGTGGCTCTCAAATCACTGTGGGGAATGTATTTATCTCACACCGTGAGATTCTTAACAGAGCTCACCATGGTGAGCATGACTTGCCATCTATGTTTCTTCAGCGGAATCACTGACCAGGGTGCAGTTATATTGCTCAATCGTGTGATGTATATGGGACGCATCAACCCGAGAGAAAATGTAAAAATGCTATCTTGTGCTGTGTAGCTAAACATCTATTAGATGTATATGCCTAAGCACTTCTGTAGTCCTTAGATATTGTGAGCTTTGCCTGCTTGTCAACCTCTTGATTAAAGTTGACTACATGGCAAATTATCTGAAGCACTTTATTAACAAAATCCCAGTGATAAATATCTTATCTTAAACACATGACTATTGATGCTAACAGTTAATATTTTGTTCCTGTGAAATTTATAGAACTGGCCATTTCCTACCCAGAATTATGAACTTACTACAATATTCCTACAATTGGTCTCAGTAGCTTTTGGGAGAAAAAATAGGCCAGAGATGCTAAAGTTACAGTCCTGCTTTAAATATAGGAAAGGAAAAAAAAAACTGAGTCCCAAATGCCTCATTTGAAAATTCTGTTGTATATATTTGCATATTATCTTCATGAGGTTCATTTATATAAATTTAAATAATTGTTAGGCCATGTTGCCAATATACTTAAATTCTTTATAAGTGGTAAAGGCAAGAATTGTTAAGGAAGTATATACATGATCACATCTGTTATTAGAAGTGAAAGTAACAACAGTGAAAGTATGGGATGAAGTATTTTTTAACAAAAAGAGGTTTGGAGTAGGAGTACAGAGACCTGAGTTCTAGTCTCCACTTAGTTGCTGATATGCTGTGGGATCTAGGTACTGTTTGCTCTTCTCAGACCATTGAGGGAGGGGGAGATTCATTATGTTAGAACGGTTATGTTACAGACAGAAAAACCCAGCTCAAATTATCTTAAAGGATAAGGGATTTTCTGGTTTAGGGAGTGTGAGAGGGCGGAGGTAGGGAAGGTTTTAGGTTGGCTCAGTCACCATCTCAGTGACATTACTAGCGACCTGATTCTCTCCATCTCTCCACCTTTAGGGTCAAAATCATCCTTGACTTATCCACCTTCATGGTGTCGCCACACGGTTGCCAACATCTGAGGATACACATTCAGAGACAATGTGTCTGCCTAACATTATAAGCAAAATACTTGCATTTTTCCTCTGATTAAACCAATGGGGCCTGCTATCCCAGAAGTGCCTCCATTGTGTGAGAGAAGTGTGCCTGCCCCCTAAAAATCCTGACATTATTTAGAAGGGAGTAGGGGAATATGGATGCCAAGTAGGCAACTAGCAAATATCCTGTGTATGATATTTTTTCTTACCAATTTGACCTTCTACTATTCTAATTCCACGGGTCTCACTGAGTTTATGCATTCATTCAACAAGTATTTATTTGGAATTTAAAGCATAGCTCATGACCCACCCCCAAGGAGATTATGGCTTGGTTAGAGAGAGAGAGAGAGGTAAGAGAAACAATGATTTCAGTAACCAAAGGAGAGATTATATATACAAAAACAAATAAATCTGAAACAAATGAGTGTGGGAGAGATACTGTGTAGGAAAAAGAGGGGAGGTAAAAGGCAGTGATCTGAGGGTTGTGGAGAAAGAAATCAGCCAGAGAAAAGGCTGAAAGGGAAAAGAGGGCTGAAAGGGAACAGAGGATTGTTGGGGTCAGACTGTGAAGAGCCTTGTATATTTGTCTGGGAGCTTTGGATTTAGTCTGTGGAAATCAGGTGTAAATATATTCATATTTGTTTGGGGAAGTGGAACACATGATTGTACTTTTCAAAAGCCTAAAAATATAATTTGGGTACATAAATCTAAGCAACCAAGTCACTTTGTTTCTTCTGCTGTGCAGAAGCTTTTTGGTTAATGTAGGTACACTTGTGTAGTTTTGCTTTTGTCGGGTCTTTTTGGTATCATATTCAAAAAATCATGATCACGACGAGAGTCAAGGAGCATTTTTTCTATATTTTATTCTAGGAATTTTATTGTTCTGATCTTACATTTAAGTATTTTAATTGATTTGGACTTGATTTTTGTGTATGGTGTAAAATAAAAGTTCAGTTTCATTCTTTTGCATGTAGCTATCCAGTTTTCCTAGTACCATTTATTGAAGAGACTGTCCTTCCTCCATTGGGTATTTTTGCTAACCTTGTCAAAGATCAGTTGACCTTATATGTGTAGATTAGAAGAGATTAGAAACAGACACACAGCCCAATGGAACAGAAGAGCACCTGTTCCATTGGGCTGTGTGTCTGTTTTCATGTCAGTACCATGCTGTTTTGATTACTGGAGCTTTGCAATATGTTTTGAAATGAGAAAGTACGATCTTCCAGCTTTGTTCTTCTTGCTCAAAATTGTTTTGGCTATCTGGGGTCTTCTGTGGTTCCACATGAATTTTAAGATTGTTTTTCCTATTTCTAACAAAATGCTATTGGGATTTTGATAGGGATTGCATTGAATCTGTAGATCACTTTGGAAGAAATATTTACTAACAATATATATGATGAAGGGTTAATATCCAAAATACATAAGGAACTTTGTAAAAGTACAAAGGAACTAAATAAACATTTCTCCAATGAAGAACATACAAATGGCCAACACATATATGATAAGGTTTTCAACAAAACTAAATACCAAGAAAATGCAAATAAAACCACAATATCACCTCACATCTGTTAGGATGGCTATTATAAAAGAGAGAGAGAGAGAGAGAGAGAGAGAGAGAGAGAGAGAGA